GCTGGGTGTCGTAAACAGTGGTGTTCGTGCATCTCCTCAATTTCTTTGCAACCTTAGACCACTGAACTTCTCCATTTTCTTTTCGACTCCACTTTCAACTTTCCTTTCTTCTCCTATTCTTCATCCCAATGGGCAGCCAAAAGACAGCAACCAAAACCGGCGCACGAAAGTGCATGGTTAATGGTTGTTCAAACTGAAACCAGTGTTCACTGTTATGATTTTACGCAAAAATATTCCCGATTGAATAAACATGAGCACAGGTTAGCAATACAAGCTTCTTTTTGGTGCTTTAGTGACTGCCTGAGGATACATCACATCTCACGGTAGACCAAACGTAGAATGGGATGGGAAGGAAGAATTTCGAACTCATTCTATGCAAACAGTGTGCATGGCTGATCATATCCGCATTGTATTAGTGACTGATCTTTACCTTCTCTCGTTGCCAGTGTGTTTCGCGTTATCTGTTGTAATTAGCAATCTTTTCTTCATCTTACATTCGTTATTTCACTGACTAGTAAACACAATCACCTTGACTGTGGTATGCATGTGTGTGCAGATGCCGCGTAATGGACAGAGAGACTACACTGTGTAAACCCATGTTTGTGATTTCCCTATTCATAGAATGAATGAGAATTTACCGACCAAATTACAGCATCAGATTATCATTGGATGATCATGCTAGGACTGTTTCGGGGCTCAAAGACAGGAGACGGATTGCAATCACCCCGGTTGTTGACAGAACTCGGAAATTGAACTCTTTGAATAATCTTCCGTTTACCGTATAGATAGGACGGAAAGCATTACACACATTGACTAAGTGATCCGATTCAGTCAGATGATTCGTTAATGCCGGTCCTCGTCAACCCCTGAATCAATCAATCAACTAGGATCATGCTCTTTGAGATGTCATCGGACGGACGACTGACTCACCGTTCGATCTACATACCACACTCCACCGGAGCAAGTGAAGCGATAAATTTAAAACGAGGTCACATCCGAGGGACTGTCTGCAGGAGGAAAGGCTTGAGCGTGAATTCAACGAGGAGTTAGGGCTCAAATTATGCGTGTTGGATGAGCGATTGAATTCACCCATTCAACAGTTTTGTAACCATATCCAATCTGAATGAGATGGAAGAATGAACCGGCTTTGGTTCACTGTTTCGCTTGGTGCCTTGTGTGTCACCACTTGCTTTTATTGTACTGGGGTGGAACAATGTACTTCCTGTGGAGATCAGCTTGTTTGCTAGAAATCAAGATGAAACGAAGGCTATGGGTGCTATCAAAACATCTACTCTTTGACCTCTGTGGAGGACAATCAGGTGACCCACGTGATTCCGGATGTGTTTTGGAAATTGTAAACTGAATCTATCGATCACAATTGATCAAACAAAAAGAGAACAGACAGCCGAAATGTTACTGTTCGGATAGTATTCTATAGACAACGAGAGTGATCACCGTTCAGATTACCATCTGTGCATTGAATTCGCGACGAACAATGAATGCATTCAAATTGAGTTACGAAAAATACACCTCTGTGGCGGAATATTTCAACCAGAAGTATTCATTTGGTGAGCGGGAGCCGTTAGATCAGTTCTGTCCGCATATGCATATGCAAGGGCATGGGGAAAGGCCACATGTAGTATGCCACCCCGAACAGTCCGCCTCGTCTGCGGGCAGTTTGAACCACGCCACGTTTATCCTACAAAAATCCCGTCGGGAACGATTAAACAATCTGATTGCGGATGAGTTGGATCAACTGACTGTAGAAGTCGAACAAACTGGAAGCATCACGCTTCGTCATGTCTCTGACTGATCTGTCTCTGCCCAGCACATGTAGAGATGATGCAAATGTGCGATGATTAGCAAAATGTTGTAAAAAAAGACAAACATAACCATCATAACCACCAACAATTATCATGTGATATATATATATATATATATATATATATATAGGAGAAAATTTGTTATCAGTTCCAGTCACCGTAAGATGTTTCACATCTCAAGTTGTACAAAGATTATCGACAAGGAGTGATTGAACAAAATGAAATCAAAAATTTCAACTATTGCACGAAGAAGAGGAAGAAGCAAAAACCATCGCAGGAGCACACTCGGGCTCCATGTCAATACGAATATTAAATAAATCGGTAACTGAGATGTGTTCATTGATATCAAATATACACCTTGGTATCGATGAGTTTCAATAACTAAGGAGGGGAGGGAATAGTCCAGTGATACACACACGAGGACCTCGTGCAGCTACGTGAGTTTATCCTCCTTGACTTGCAGCTATTCGGTATCATCCAATCAGTGCATCAGGTCTGATCCTGTGGTTGATGGTTTGTGGGGAAATAATTCAAAGATACAACCATTAAAACGTGCACGTAAAAAAAATACAAGATACATTGTTCTCGCTTTCCTCGTTTTCATTCACCCCGATTTGTAAATAAATTTTACTGTTCTATTAAAATTATTATTATTATTGTTATCGGGGTAGAACCATGTTTCTTCTCAAGCAAGCAAACAAGCCGATCACCAAGTCCCGACCGGCTAGATGTTACCTTAACAACTGCAGTCAAAAGACAGCTGTAAAAGTGCGAACGTTGATTGATGGCACCAGAAAAAGTGCACTGATTAAGAAAGAAAGAACCATGCTGTATTCAAAGGGATACTGGAAGACTGTGACCGTGCTTTGGAATATGGCGCTTTTGATATAGGTGCAACATTGGCGAGGTTTTTGATTATATAGTGGATCAGATGCACTCGTTAATGGGAAGTAAACTGTTGACTGAGGTGAATACAATGATGAGTGATCAAACCTGTAGAGTGAAATTAAACCCAAAACAGACTTACCTCCAGTCCCTTTGAATTGGAAATTCGGATCGAGGCCACGATCGAGCAGCTGATCGATGCGTTGTACATTGTGCGATTGAATAGCGAGCAGGAGTTGTTTCTTGTTTGACTATATCACCAGGGTACGCATCATGAAAAGATAATAGAGGGAAAGAGAGAGAGAGACAAGTATTTTTTGAAGCATATTAGGATGACATGGACAGCTAAAACCGTGGCCTAACACTGTCAAATCCGATGCACGGCACTGAAACCAAGATTGGAGGGTGTTTCTGATTGTTGGCGGTGAACAGTTGCAACCGGTGAAATCGATGGAAGTGGTACGTCCCATGGAGGGAGCACTCCGCAAACAAAGCAAGTTATGATCCTTAAAATGCTCAGATTGGGGTCACCAGCAAAAAGTAGAACAGTGAGAATGACACTATCCGGCTCGACATTCGGGAATGTTCATTTGTACCAGCTATACCACCCACCCATCCCTCTGAAACGGTCACTCGATCTGATCAAATCTAGAACCTAGTAGATGCATTCAAAGCAAGTCGTGGACAGAGACAAACTGTACCATAGACCTAAGCCCTTCCTTAATCGAGTAGATTATCTTCTATCACGAACACCAAACAGTTCCATGACATTACAACCACATGGACGGGGTTTATTTATGAAACATAGTGTTCTTTGTAATCACGAGGACGAACACTGATAAAATACAGAAACATTGATTTTTCTTTAGAATAATCCAGCTTTTGCATACAAAACAAACAGCCTCGTCCTGTGACAGATGAAATGACCGGACAATAGGGTAAGTAATCGAGAGGTGGATAGCAAACAACAAAGTGAGATCACCGTGAAAAAATAACCCGTTTCCCCTTGGCTGTGAGAACGGCGCGTTCATAAATTTACCCCTGCTTTATTGATCCACTCACTACATGGATAGACGAATGAGAGCGACGAAAGTCGATGGATGAAAGTGAGAGCTTGGTAACTGTTTAAACTAAGACATGAGCGAAGCCAGTCTCATCTCTGAGAGGCCAAGAAGATACACAAATTGTCACATAAAAAAACAGTCCCGTGAATTAGGTCACATCGATTCAAACGAGCGCAAAACAGTCCGGGTGCGTTGCGTGCGTGCGTAATCACAAGCACAGGGACAGGTAAGGATGCGGTTGAGAAATGTACATACAGAAAGATAGATAGACATATTACAAGAAGCACAAACGACCAAAAAGAGAGTGGGGGCGGGTAGATGGGATCGAGTGATGATTAGGCACGTTGTTTGACGACAGGTCCGGTATACTACTCCCACGGATCACCGTGTGATGCTACCAAAATTTCCATTGTGACCTTAAATATGTGTTATGAATTTTTCGATGCTGGCAAAGGTTTGTAATACCTGTTGCAAACAATCTCCACAATTAGAACACTACAAAGAGAGAACAATTCATAACACATATTTAAGGTCACAATGGAAATTTTGGTAGCAGTAACAGTGGCAATCGTGTTATGAACATGGATGATATAGTACAAAATGCAAAAACAAGCGTCGACAAAGGATCAAGTAAGAGCCATTGAGGGTGAGAGATTTTTGAGATGGTGGTCACACACTACTG